GAAGTCCCCCGCCCAGCAGGACAGTTTGGCCCCAGCGGCAGCAGGACAGACACCCTGCTGCAAGACAGATGTCTTCTGCTTTGGAAACAAGGCATGGAATTGTTGGTGGGTGAGGGAGGCTGCTTCCACCAGCAGCATCAGTCCAGCAGCCTGGTCTCATTCTTGCTCCAACACTGCCTGTGAGATGTCAGGGCTACAGAGCAAAGGTGCGTGATCATCAAAGCCCCGATGAGTACATGAAAAGTGCAGGAACCCTGAGAGAGGCTTTAAGGGTAAAACCTTGAGGTGGCTTTAATTTGCTTCGTATCCTTAGAAGAATTTTACAGCTCTAAATAGCCAAAAATATATGTGCTTTTTCAGGATCATGTTATTCCTCATTTCCCTATGGTTGTCACCCTGGCATATCATGCACTGCTGGGGCCAACCCATTTGCTGCATAATCATAGAATGATTTGGGTGGGAAGGGGCCTCAAAACTCATCCAGTTCCAAACACTGCCGCAGGCAGGGACAGCTTCCACTAGACCAGGTTGCTCCAAGCCCTGCCCAGCGCGGCCTTGAACACTGCCAGGGATGGGGCAGCCACAGCTTCTCTGGGCAGCCTGTGCCAGGGCCTCAGCACCCTCACAGGGAACAACTTCTGCCTCAGATCTCATCTCAGTCTCCCCTTTAACCCTCAGGTTAAAGCCATTCCCCCTTGTCCTCTCCCTACAGGGCCCTGTCAAAATATGCTGAAAACATTTCCATTTGTCTTTGCATTAAAGGGCTACTGAAACAGGGTCAACAGAACTGGCTGTTTGAAATATGTCCTGGAAAAACCAAGGTATTCTTAGTGCCTTCACTGGTGTGCCAGGGAAGTGGAGGGAGAAGGAGCCAGGAAAGTCATTGAGGTGTACCTTGCCTCCATTACACAGGATGCAATAATTTCCAGCATGGTTTAAAGCTTGCAAACCCACTGTGATGTTCTCAGGAAGGTTTCTTCACAATGAGATTCTTTTGCATCTGTTTTCATCTGCTTTCCTGTACTCACACCCCACAGGGTGTATTCAGGCCACCCTCTTTTCCCTGCCTGCAGATCACTCTTGCCACGCACTGTTCGAGGATGTGCCAGGCAGTGACAAAACATGTGCCAGGCTAAAAATAACCCCCACATTGGGTGTTTATGGTAAGATCCTCTCCGCTGCCAGCTCCCTGCCAGGCAGCCCTGCCAGGAGACCTGGTGGCAAATGAGTCCTCTTCTGAGGACGGGGTTTGATAACCCCTGTGTGCTCCCACTGTGTTTAATGGACCAGGGGAAGAGGGAGAGGTTTCCCCATGATGGGAGCCACCTTGTAGGGTTTGGTGCTTGGACCATACTGGGCGTGAAGTAAAGAGAAGGGGTTTCTGTACATGCTGGGGTGGCTGGATGGATGAGTCTGTCTTGGAAGTCTTGGCCAGAGCAAAGAAAACAAGAGAGATCTATTTGCAGCACTGGCTTTGATGTGCAGGGGAGCTGCAGGGAGCTTCAAGGACAAGGTTGTGGAGCAACTCCAACGTCTGCAGGGAGCGGGGTTGGTGGTGAGGGGCTCAGACTGATAGTGAGGAGCTGCAAAAGGGACTCACATGAATGTGAAATGGCAATGAAAAGGTAAAAAAGTCCTCACTTGGCATTTAAAATATTAGACTCTGGGTTGGCTGTGGTCCAGAGCCATCAGTGAAGGAAGATTTGGGCTCATCTACCTCGGGTAGGAGCTATTAGCCCAGGAGAAGAGGCAAAGGAGCTCCATGAACCCAGCAACCCCCCTCAAATCCACCGGAGAGCTCCTGGGAGGGGAGTGAGGGCTGAGATACCCAAGCTGTATTGTGCAGCACAGGCAGGTGGGCAAATGCTCAGGTCCCACCCCTGCAGCATCGCTCTGGGTGCATAAAAGCAATCTCAGAGTCAGACCCTGGGCCTGGCAGGGGTGACCCATGCGAGTGGCTGATCTCCACACAGCCTGACCTTCTGCACTAAAGATCTCAAACTGCCTCTTTAATTCAGGGGTCCAATGTATGATGCAGCACTCAGACAAGGGACACCTCAGCAGCCATGTCAGAGGCAACATGCAAGGCCTTTCCAAAGAGGCAAATGAAATTTGGTGGAAGCGATGCCCTTCATGAATTTTGTCTTGCAGTTCAAATAAACAGATGTCTCTTACTGTTTGGCCTTTGCACCACTGGCTCAAAGTGACTTTCTTCTTTGTGGCTGCTGCACACATCCTCTCCCCACACCGTAAATGCTGCCTGGTTGTTCTTGGCCAAGGAACAAGCCCTACAAAGCAAGCACAACTCTGTCTCACCGTGAATGATGACCTGGCAGGAGTATAAAGTGATTTTAGTAATGCACTAAAATACATGAGGACTTTCCTTGGTGAGTTAAACCCAGGCTTTTGAAGTGCTGCAGTAGTTAGTTCCCATCAGCTTGCTCTAAGTGCATGAAATGTGCTGGCTGGGGAGTGATGAGGAGATAAGTTTAAAAGGGTTATTTCACTTCAGATGTCAGTGAGTGGGGGGAAAGGTAAATAAAAAGCTATTAAAAAAAAACCCTGTCTCTGGGTTTCCAAAATAGCTGCTACAAAGAGCCCCTCATTGCTGGGGTACTTTTGTGTTTTGAATCAGGTATGGAATCAGACAGGAGTCTGGTTATGAACCTGATGAGTAGGAAAGCACCCCGGGATGTGGCTGGAGTTCCTGCCTCTGCCCTCCCTCTCAGCGGCTCTGAGATAAGGTGGGAGATGGAGCTCCACTCGTAATGGTTCAGAAGGGGGTCAAGACCCTTTCTCCGGCCCTATGGGTAAAGGACACAGGCTGACACTCAGAGAAATGCTTTTCAGAGGTAAGCAGTTGTCTCTCCAATGTGAGCACAGTTTGCAAAGTGGCTAGTGGTGCAAAGGCACCACATGCCCTTATGGATGGGTGGCACATGAGGGCAGAACTCTGGTTGTCAGCATCAGTGACAGACTGTCCATGCCCTGCCATGCCACCCACATTCAAAATCACAGGAGAAAATGCATCTGCTCAAATAAATTAAGCAGGGATAAGGCTGTGCACTGCCCCTTGCTTGCACTGGGACATTGTACTACTGCAACCTAGTCTTCATTACGATGGATGCAGTCTGCAGGCTGAGACCCTGTCTGAGGTCACTGGTGACTACTCTGAAGTCCATGTGGTCTTCTTCCCCACCATTGCAACTGGTATTCCAGGTAAGAGGATCCTGGGTGACCTCCCACTGCTGCAAGCAGAGCCTTGACCAAGGCAGAGCTGCCCTTCCGCCCCGGTGATGCACCAGCACGCACAGCCAAGAGCTGAGCAGGGACATTTTGCCTGCCTGACAGTGACCACATCAAACTGAGCTAATCCTTTGTTTATCCTCAATCTCTCCTCAGCCCATTGCTCATCCCAAATCACAAGAGGAGGTCTGTGGTGGGCAGCTGCCCCCTCTCCTTATAGGCCGTGGATAAAGAGCATCCTGGCTGGTCCCCATAGCACACAAAGCTGAAGTGTGGTGGTGCATTTCTTCCTCCCACCTCCTCTTGGCAGCTGTATGACCTCAGGAAATCCAGGCAGGTCACGTCCTTTGTGTTGTGAGTTTGGCAGTGAAGCGTCCCTTGTCCGTACCAGGCACTCGTGCATGGTTAAGGCAGGAGGCACTGACTGTACGAGGGATGCCTGTTGCCTGGCCAAGGTGGGAAGTGAAAGCAGGGATAATCAGTCACCCCCTGACAGCCCTGGAACATTCCTCACCTTGGTTGTAGCCTGAGAGGAATGGTACCACAGTTACTGGAATTTTGAAAATTCCAGTAAGTACCAGCTTGGATTGTGGCCAGGGCGGAAATTTACGGATGACTAAAGTAAATCATCTTGTGACCATACAAAGAGTAGTCCTGAGAAAGGCCCTTTGAGCTCCCCTGGGATTCAGCGGGCTGTGACAGCATTTCCCTCTGAGCAGCTATTTCAATTGTGCAAAGTCTGGAGGACTGTCACCAAAAGCTGATGGTGGAGCCTGAGCTGAAGACTCCCCTCTCCTCCTTGCCCCTTGAGATATGGCAAGACATTTGATGTGAATATTTCACTGCACTCAAGTGGAATGTTCAGCGGGTATACTTTTATACATGCATACATATGTACACACACATATACATACGTACCTCTTTGCGTTTGTGTGCATGTGTGAGTAACTTGATTCAGATACTCTATAGCAACTACAGCATGAATGTTGTCACCTCAGATCTGTAATTAAGTCACTGTTGTGACTGTAGTAAACACTATTGTCTCACCTTGTGTTAAATTAGTCAGTGATGGACCTTGACTAAATTTTGTGATCCACCTTAAATTATGAATAACCTTAGACAGCTGCTGGATCTTGTGATCCATCTTAGAACCGTAGACTGCTGTTAGGTCAAAAGTGTAAAAATCCCATCTGTGGTGAATTGGTACTTTTACAACATTATATCAAGATCACCTTTCACCAATATCTTCGACAGTGATCCTTTAGGCGACCCTAACTGATTATACATGTAACCCTGTAGACACAAACCGTTGATCAAGTCTGGGACCAAGACTGGCTTTAGCTTTACCCAAACTCTATCAGGAATTTAGAAAGCAAAAGGGGTCCACTTTGAACCTTGCAACTCAATTGGAGGATTTCCTTTTATTTGTTCCATGAGACACAAACCATTGACCTAGGCTGGGACTAAGATTGGATTTAGCTGTACCTAAAGCAAGGGGATCTACTCTGAACCTCATGATCAGTGAGAGGGTCTTCCCTACCCTTTTGCATTTCTCGTCTCTGTGTAAATCATTATAGCTCGATTCTAACCGGATTTTCCTCTGTACGTTCCATCCACATAGTAAGTAATAGAGTGAACCTTGCTATAGGACTTTGTTAGGCCACAATTTAGAAATTCATATTAAAACTACTTTTGCTAATAACTTTGATGATGATTCTTTAGGTAACACTAAACTCATTCATGACACTGAGACAGCAAGTTCTCTCTCCTTTGTTTTCGTGTTATTTCTCTCCCAGCTGGAAAACAAGGTTTCCACCGGGGGTACACTGGATGCCACTGCTTAGGCTAGGTACTCGAAATAGGTGTTTCGGTTCTGTCTTTCCTCGGTGCTGATTCTCTTCCCTGAGGGGAAGGTCTGGTAGGTCCGTACATTCAGAGGTGACACTCGCCTCAAATGCCAGTGGGTCTTTGCCCTGAGCAGTGGGCTGGGGAGCAGCAGAACACCAAGGATAGTTACAGATGCAGAGGTGCAGGGAGTGCTCCGTCCTATGGGTGTGCTTGAGGGCACTGTGGTACCCACAGCCGAGCACTGCTCACCCCGGTAGAGCTGCAGAAGCAGGTGAGCTTGCAGCGTTGTCCCACTAAAAGAAGTTGGATTCCCCAATATTGAACACTTAAGATTCAGCTGGACATACTGCTGGAGCATCTAATCTAGGTCGTGCTTTGCCGAGAAAGGTTGGACCAGATAACCTTTGAAGTCCCTTCCAACCTGGGATTATAGGATTCAAGGATTCTAATATTCCTGAGCTCTGCACATCACCCAAAGCCTTGATGTCACCCATTGCATTAGCACAGGTATTGCTTATTGTTAAACACAAGGAAAACAAAGGCAGAATTGGGGGATTTTGCTTATGCCGCATTCAGAACTGATGCTGCAAGGCCAAGCTGTGCTCTCCTGCTTGCAAACACCCCCAACCTCCAGGCCACAAATACTAATGTACAAACAGCTCTGCTTATTGACATTACCCACATGGGTTCAGTCACGTATCTGCACGAGGAGGGACCACAGGGATGGATAAGTGTTTGAAGGGATAGAGAAAAAATACAGATTGTTTTAAACACCAGCACCACTTGTGCTGCTTTGGGGTCACATTGCCTGTCCCCCAGGGGCTGGTCAAAGTCAAATCACTTCTGTTGACATGGGTCGGGAAGAACAAGCTCCTCAGCAGCAAGGAGCAGGGGTACATAGCAGCCAGTCAGGGTCAGGAGCAGGTCTGGAGATTGTGGCCAGGGCAGCCCCAAGCCACCTGGCAGTGAGGTACATCTGGGATCAAGCTCAAAGCCTGGTCCATGTTGGAGTGGAGGAGGTCCAAGACTGGGCGCTGAGCCAGCTGTGGCACAGCTGCAAAAGCAGGGGCTGGTGATTAAAAGCAGATCCCAAACGAAAGGAGGTATCGGCATCACCTTCAGCTTTGCTCATATCAGCACCAAGGCTGGCCTTGGTCTCTGTCAGCTAAATTCCTGTAAGGGGGATGCGCTCATGGCCCCGACACCATCTGTTTTATTTCATCCACTTTCATCTATCCTCATCCTACACATTACTCTGCCTTCCCATGAAACCTGGCCTGTGTGAAGGACAGCCTCCCACTCTCCTGTTTGTATTAGATGGGCAGTGAAGGCGTGATAAGAAACCACAAGCCAGCCTGAACAGCCACAGCACACATCTTAAATGAAGTGCTCCATCCCCATCAATGAACCTCTCTTTTAAACAGCTTCACAGAGCTCCACACACAAAGTTTTGCACATTCACAGGTTTCCAGACCTGCCCATAGCCAACCTCACTGCTGTGCTGGCAGCACCACCATCACTTCCCATCTTGTAGCAAGGGGGATCCAGCCACCTCCTGGGCTGTGCAAGCAGGACAGCAGCCAGAGAGGCAGAGGCATCATCAGCTGCCCTGGTTGGTGTCTGCAGTGCACTGACAGGCTGCCCAGAGGAGCTGTGGCTGCCCCCATCCCTGGCAGTGTTCAAGGCCAGGTTGGACGGGGCTTGGAGCAACCTGGTCTAGTGGAAGGTGTCCCTGCTCATGGCAGGGGTTGGAACTGGATGAGCTTTAAGGTCCCTTTCAACCCAAACCATTCTGTGATTCTATGTAGAAAGACAGGAAGAGAGCTGGGTTGTCCAGCCTTGAGAGAAAAAGGCAAAGGGGGATCTTGTTATTGTCTACAGCTACCTTACGGCAGGTAGCAGAGATGAGACCATCTAGAAGATGTAGACATGTAAGAAACTGGAGGATGCACCTTGAATTTCGAGGTGCACGGCTGACAGGAGCAGTGACGGCACAAGCTACAACACAGGCAGACCCAGCCAGATACAAGGGAAATATTTGACCTGGAGACCTCTGAAGACGACAGAAGGGTTTGTGGGGTTTTTTTTCGTCACATTTTACACTCCTGTTGAGCCACAGGAAGACAGCACTAGAGGGCACCCACGGATTTGTGATGGAGCTGGGTCCAGCTGCTTCTCACCCCAGCTGAACTCTCGGTCCTGGGCTGGCAGCATCGCAGGGGCCTTTTCAGCACATTTCAGGTCCAGGGTAACCATCCCAGGGGGGCATTATGGCGCTCAGAGCTCAAGGCAAGAGGGAATTTGGGATGCCAGTGGAGAGCAATACATTCAGCTCCTCTGGAGTTGAGCAGGGCAGGGGGGGCTGTCAGTGCCATGGGTGTCCACCCAAAAGGGTGGTGGGACATGATGCTGGGCTGTGCCACAGGGCACAACAGCCAGTAATGCACAGCCTATGTCTGTGAACTTAGTCTCAGTTGAGTTTGCCCACTGGGGAGATGCAAAGTCTTTCTGCAGGAGTTTGGCCCTGTTGTTCCCTGAATTTGGGCTGGGTCTGCACTACTCCACATCCCCACAAAGCTTCCTTTCCCTTTATTCTTGATAAAAATTGCTTATGACTATTTCATAGAATCACAGAATGGTTTGGGTTGGAAAGGACCTGAAAATCATCCAGTTCCAACCCTTTGCCATGGGCAGGGACACCTCACACTAGAACATGTCACCCAAGGGTCTATCAGATCTGGCTGTGAGCACTGCCAGGGATGGAACATTTACCACTTAGTTTTGCAACCTGTTCCAGTGTCTCACCACCCTCACAGTAAAGAACTTCTTCCTTTTATCTAACCTGAGCTTCCTCTGTTTCAGTTTATTTCTATCTCCACTGCGTGGTGAAAAATATCCAGCTCCCTAATCCACATTTCAGCAGTGCTCTGCCTACTTCTGTCCACCCCTGTGCCCCAGAGATGCTGACAAGCTCCTCTGCATGGTCCAACCTCTGCAGCACCCACCCTGACATCCCCAGGAAGAGAAGATGCCCTATGACTCTCTCAGTGAGGTGTTTCGGGGCTGCCCATAGCCACCACAGCTCTTCCACGAGGAACATAAATGGAGATCCAGGAGGGATAAGGAATACCGAGGAGCTTTGCTCAGTAATGTCTTCTTTTTGTCTTTCAGTTTCTATGACCTCCTCCCCTCTCCAGGGCCCCGTATTGTAGAGGCACATAGTCAGCAGAGGACTGGATCCAGCAGCTTGGAGGAGAGGAACCCCAGCACTGCCTATGCCCAGCTACGGGGAGGCAGGAAGCAGCTATGGGATGGGGTTGGGATTACCCCATCAATTCATGGCCCTAGTGACTTGGAGACCTCGCTTATTTGTGATGGCTTGGGTGGTCAGTGGGCAGCCCAGGGGACTCACCTTTGGCCAGCTCACATGTTTTGTTGCTAAAGAGCTTTGTGAGGGCTTTGAAATGAATAACAAACACACAGCCAGGAGGTTGCTTGCTTAAAAAAGAACCCAAACCAACACAAAACAACTGGGATTTCTAAACTGAGAAAAAAGCCTCAAAGATTGTCACTCTGCCCACCTATTCTTTCCTTTCAGGTTAATCTGGTTTCTTCTGCTCACATTTTTGTTAGGAAGGAAGGTTTGGGTGAAGAATAGGAGCATCAGTGCAGGGCTGGCTCTCCCCAGGACCTCTCTGGTTTAGTCCCACTAGCCCTGGGAACTGGGTGCCACCACATCCCAGGGACTATCCACAGTGACATTGGTACTCACATGGCAAGTGGATGTGGGTATCTCTCCTTTTCCTTCACAGGCAGCACAAAGAAGGGATGGATGTACAGCGTCCCCCTCCTGTCCCAGTAAAAATCACAGTGCTGCTGGGCCAGCTGCAGATCAAGGCAAACAGCTGGGAATTTCAGATGAGTTCGGTGCCCCATGTCTTGTTCACACCAGGGTGCTGCAGCGGTTACTTTTGCAAAGCATGTGGCAATCCCCTCCCTGCTCTAACCGTGCAGAAATGCAGTCACAATCACGCTCCTAAAATGCCTTGCCTCAGACCCTCAGGCAAATTAACAAGCAGCATCTGTGCTTAATCTATGTTAATTTGGCAGCTTGGCTTGTGTTACTTGTAAGGTGTTTTTATTGCATCGTAAGGTGTGAGCAAGACACAGGCTGAGGCATGGGACAAGCGTGGTGCCTGCAGCAGGGACTCCTGCAGCCGGATGCTCAAGTGTGGAGCTATCTCAGGGCAGGCCTCTGTCTGCAGCTATGCTGCATTCAAGAGCCTCCCCCTGTGCTGTGCCCTCTGTTACACCAGCCCTTGAGACAGGGGGTCCGGAAGGGGCAGACTTGGCTGCTGCCTGTGCATGGGCCTCAGGCACAACAAGCAAGCCTTGCTCCGTGCATGCAGCAGAATCATAGAATCATAGAATAGTGAGGGTTGGAAAGGACCTTAGGATCATTCAGTTCCAAACCCCCCACTATGGGCAGGAACACCTCACACTAGACTATGTCACCCAAGACTGTCCAACCTGAACACTGCCAGGGATGGAGCATTCACAGCTTCCTGCCTTATGAAGACAGGCTGAGAAGTTGGGGCTGTTCAGCCTGGAGAAGAGAAGGCTGCGTGGAGACCTCAGAGCAGCGTTCCAGTATCTGAAGGGGGTCTATAAGGATGCTGGAGAGGGACTCTTCATTAGGGACTGTAGTGATAGGACAAGGGGTAACGGGATAAAACTTAAACAGGGGACGTTTAGGTCAGATGAGGGCCAGATGATCCTTGAGGTCCCTTCCAACCTGGCAGTCCATGATTCACTTCAGCAAAACCCCAACTTGATGCCCAGCATTGCATCTGAGGATAAACTGCTGCTCAAGGGATTATCGTGATGGACAGAACACTGCCTTCATGACCCAGGAAATGTTTTCATTTTCCTTTTTAAGCCCCATTCCCTGCATTTTAGAGGTGCCCCACGCAGGGGGCTGCTACTGGTAGAGCCGAGTTCACCACATCCTTGTCTGGCTGGGCATTGAGGAATAGGAAAGGGGAGCAGCTGGTCTCTCTCCTGGGAGAAAACCATTAGAAAGAGTGAGAATGAATGGGATCCCTCTGTTCCAAGCACACAGCCCCCAGCATCCAGGAAAGGTCAGCATCCATTCTGGCCAGATGTCTCCTGATGGCCTCATGTCCCCAGAAATGTGGGGTTTTGGGCTGAGGACGTAGTACCAAACTCAGCTCATTCCTCCCTGGCAGCTTGCAGAGGGTTCAAGGCTAGATGGGGAGATGTTGCAGAGCATCTTGGGGGACCAAGATGGGACCGTACTCTCCTGGGAACAGTCCCAGATGCTGCACAATGCTCCCATAAAGAAATCAGGAGCTCCCTTCAAGGAGGGAATAGCCCCACAGGTGCCCCTTTCTAAAACATAGAATCATAGAATCATAGAATCGTTAGGGTTGGAAAGGACCTTAAGACCATCTAGTTCCAACCCCCCTGCCATGGGCAGGGACACCTCACACTAAATCATATCACCCAAGGCTTCGTCCAACCTGGCCTTGAACACTGCCAGGGATGGAGCATTCACAACCTCCCTGGGCAACCCATTCCAGTGCCTCACCACCCTAACAGGAAAGAATTTCCTCCTTATATCCAAATTAACTTCCCCTGTTTAAGTTTTAACCCATTACCCCTTGTTCTGTCACTACAGTCCCTAATGAAGAGTCCCTCTCCAGCATCCTTATAGGCCCCCCTTCAGATACTGGAAGCCTGCTATGAGGTCTCCACGCAGCCTTCTCTTCTCCAGGCTGAACAGCCCCAACTTCCTCAGCCTATCTTCATACGGGAGGTGCTCCAGTCCCCTGATCATCCCCATGGCCTCCTCTGGACTTGTTCCAACAGTTCCATGTCCTTTTTATGTTGAGGACACCAGAACTGCACACAATACTCCAGGTGAGGTCTCACAAGAGCAGAGTAGAGGGGCAGGATCACCTCCTTCGACCTGCTGGTCACGCTCCCACATGGTGCTGGGCTGGGAATTCACCAGGACATGGCACTGGCTGGCCGGAGAGCTGGGGAGGGCTGCACAGACCTGTTCCTACCTCTTCACCTGCCCCACAAATGGAAGTTCCTTAGTTGTTTGCATATTCAGTGCTAAAAATCCATTTATCCCTAATAAGGAGTGGTAAAACAATAAGATGCATTTTCCACTTCAGCCACCCCTGAAAGCTTGTAGGACTCCCAGTGCGTTCCCAGAATGTGGAAATATGTCATTATTCTTCCTTCAGCTTCTCACAATGGCTGCAAGCAATTGGCTTTCCTACACAGCACAATGTGCCGAGGCACTGCTGTGTTTCACGGGAGCCAGTGGAAACTGCTGCTCAGCCAGGCAAGCTCACCCAAGGCATACTGGAGTTAATTCTGCTGCAGTCTGAGATGCTCTGCCTATAACCTGAAACCAGCATTGCAGCTGGTGCGGGAGGCCTTGGCTCAGGTGCAGAGCTGTATCGTTCTGCAAAAGCTGGGAGAAGAAAAAGAATCTTTAAGGGAAAAAGAAGGAAATACAGCCCTTTCCCCTTGCTGCCAGGGCAGAGAAAATAGATCTGCTGAAAAATGGAGATAACTGAAGACAAAAATCAAGGACAAACTAGTTAGTGCATCCCCTGTTCAATGAGACATCAGGGCTCAGAGTCCTGTGCTTTGTGCCCCCGACCCCAAGGGATAGGACAAGGGGGAATGACTTTAACCTGACAGAGGGGAGATTGAGATGAGATCTTAGGCAGAAGTTCTTCCCTGTGAGGGTGCTGAGGCCCTGGCACAGGTTGCCCAGAGAAGCTGTGGCTGCCCCATCCCTGGCAGTGTTCAAGGCCAGGCTGGATGGGGCTTGGAACAACCTGGTCTAGTGGAAGGTGTCTCTGCCTATGGCAGGGAGTTGGAGCTGGATGAGCTTTAAGGTCCCTTCCAACACCAGTCATTCTGTGATTCTATGATTCTAGTGCAAACACAGCACCAAACCCCCTCCAGCTTTCCTGAGGAAGTTCACTATAGGTGGGTTTTTTACCTTACACTGCCCAATTCCCATGGTGTAGCTTAAACCAGGAATGAGGATTTGCACACTGCAACCTTTCTCATATTTGAGCAAGATTCCATACCAGGGGTTTGCTCATTTACGATTTTCCACAAGATAAGGCTGCTAATCATGATCTCTCTGTTAAATGGATTTTGCTTGCCATAGACACTGACACAATAATACCATCGGTGGCCAGATCTAACAGGCCACATCTTGCCAAAGCTAATCCTAATCCTCAGCATATTTATATACCTTACATCTGCTTTTGACTGAGGACACCCTTGTTCACCAGTTTACAGGATGAGAGAGCCATGCCAGCCCGTTCCCTTTGCTCAGATCTCTGATTTAACAGCCAAATAATGAGGATTTCTCTCATCTAAGCCTCATGAAACACAGAGGGGAAGATGTGCAGGTGGTGACAGCAACGCTGTTCACCTCTGCTGCTATCAATAGGCCACAAAGCCAAAGTCCAGCAGTAAACAAAGACATTGAATATACGTGCCCTGCTGCAGAAAATGGACTCAGTCAGAGATCAATGTGATCAGACCAAAGCCATTTATTAAAAAGCATCTATCCTTTTTATACTATAGTCTGCATCTGCTTACAATAGCTTGCTGTATTATAATTGGATACATATACTTGTAGCACACAGCAACTAGTATACAACTGGTCAAATAAGCGTATGGGAACTTAACCTTTAAAACTTGCTAACAGTTCACTATTTTGTATCTTAGCACATTCCAGTTTCTTCTTATCTTGCTTGCACCGTTACTCTTGCTTCCTTACCCACGTCCTCCTTCATCCTCGGTTCACGTTGAACTCCATGTAGGCCCTTGCTGACTTGGGCACGTGGCCATTCTTTGCTAAAAATCCATCCACATCTCCCCCTTTTTCTTGTTGCACAAGCCAAACACACTTCATAGCATCCATTGTCATACGTTGAATACATTGTAAAATACACAGCAACAAAACCAAAATTGTCAGAATGACAATAAACACCACTAGTCCACCTTTTACTAAAGAAACCAGCCAACCTTGCAGTCCCCATCCACCAGCAAAAAGCTTGCTCACCCTGGTACACTATGTGTAGGATTTTAGCATGCTTCCACATTTCGGCTACACTCCGCAATACCTTCCCTGATTGGTCTATATAGCTACAACATGACTCATTAAGCAAAGTACATACACCACCGGATTCGGCCGTCAAAATATCTAGAGCTCTTCTATTCTGAAACACTATCTGTTTTAATGAATCTATCTCCTTTTGTAGGTCAAGAAGAGCTTCTGCAGTCCGATTGGCAATAAGCTCCATTTCTCCTGATATGTTAGCTATTGCTCTTTCCAGTTGTGCTACTCCCAAAGTAGGTATTAAGGCCCTCCCAGAACTGTGGTAGCCAGTACCATAAGTTACAAGTGGGCTGTTGACACTTCTTTTCTTTCGGTTAGATCCCCATAGACCTCATACTATGCCGTGAAAATCACTATGATTATACAGTTTTAGTGGAGGGGCTAGCATTCCCATAGTACATTGTCCTCTCCAATTTCCTGGCAGTTGTTTTCTAGCTTTCCGATCCCCACAGAGCCACCAATATCCTTCTGGGAGATTGCACCAGACATCAACTGCAAGCAGTACGTTAGTCGTAGCACGACCCCATAGGTAATCAGCCCACTGCTGTGATCCAGTTCCATTGGTATATTTTCCCTTAGAATCAACACCAGTGGGATGACCTATTTTTAATTTCACAGCTGACCAATTTCCTGATGACATATTGATTTGACCCGTATTGATCCCATCCATCAAATAGTTAATATATGGAATTGAGTTGTTAACTAGTTCCCACCTAAAGATCGCTCCTTCCATATTTTCAGTGGCTTGTCTACGCTGATATAATGTGTTCAAAAGGCTATAAGGGTTAAGACTCATTCAATTACTTAAAAGGATTCCTAATAGCG